ATTATTGCAACCTCCATCGTAAGAGTAAAGTGTGCGGTGCAGTAGGATACCGTGCCCGAATTGCATAGGCACCTGGTGACATCTGAGCGACCCTCCTTTCTTTTTCTTGCCTTATTCGTTTGCGTTGCGTCGCGTGGCGCAATAGTAACACACTCGCACAACAACATTACCATCCAAGCATACACACACACACATCCATACTCACACACCGCCACCAAGCGCATTGCCCACGATCCCCGCCACCACACGCCACCGAATGCCCAACCCGCGCACCGACCTGCGTGTGTCCGCGCTGACCGCTGCCGCTGTCCTGCTCGCGCTGCTTGTCGGGGCCCCGCTGATCGCTGCGGGGCACCGTTGTATCTTCGACGAGCTGCAGCGCCTGCAGCTGGCGACCGGCACCAGTGCCGTCCCCGATGTGGGGGACCGCGGGGCGCCGCAGGGGCAGGGTGCGGAGCAGCATGGCAGCATCACCGCCACTGACCCATGGGAGCCGATCCGCATCTCGGTGTTCACCAGGGACCTCGACGACAGCTCCCGCTACTGCACTCAGCCAGGGGAGATGAGGCCTGATTTCTCTGGCTCCATGATTAAATGCAATCCCGATAACATTCTCACCGATGAAAAGAAGCAACTGATTCGTAAGCAGATAATCCCCAGCGCGGTGCAGATGCACAGGGAACACCTGCTGGTGCGGCCGATCATCGGCAACATCCGTGTTGATCACTTTAAAGGGGGCCTCTGCCCGTACTTTACGGTTCCCCAGTCCCACCACACCACCGGTGTGCCTGATACCGACTTCGTGCTGTACGTTGCAGCGGGACCAACTGAACTTGGTGTTAACGCGTGGGCAGTCTACTGCCAGTTTGACCGCAGTGGCCGCCTTCAGGTGGGTGTTGTCAATTTGGGGCCTCGATACGCTCTGGATGTTTTCCTTTCCACACGTATCCTGACGCATGAGATACTGCACACGTTGGGATTCCACATTAATATGTTCCAGTTCAGAGGAATGACTATTGATGTGTCTGTTCGCGGTAAGAATAAAAGTTCTGTTCTGAAGTCACCAAAAGTTGTGGAAGTCGCGAGGGAGCATTACGGATGCAGCACCATGCAGTACGTGGAGTTGGAGGACATGGGTGGCACGGGAGCTGTGGGTTCTCACTGGAAGATGCGCAATGCAAAGGACGAATTGATGAGTCCTATCAACGGTACATCTTTTTACACCACCTTTACCATCGCGGCGATGGAAGACACGGGCTACTACAAAGGCAACTACAGTAATGCTGAAAGCATGTCATGGGGTAAGAATGCCGGCTGCCTGCTGTTTGATAAGAAATGCGTAATTGACGGTGTGTCGCAGGTGCCGGAGATGTTTTGCGTCGTTAATACTACTAACAAGAGTGAGCTCAAGTGCGCATCAGACCGGATGGGCATCGGATGCTGTTTGATAACAAAACATACCAGCATGCCACCATATTTCCAGTACTTCCCCGATCCGACAATCGGTGGTACTGAAGTCTGGATGGATTACTGCCCATACATATTATCAATTTTTATCACTACGTGCCTAAATGGGAATGCAACAATTCTGCCAGGTTCTGTGTTTTCAAAATCTGCGCGATGCTTTTCAGCTGTCCCAAACACTACCCTCCAGATAAAAAGTGACAAAAATATGTTTTCTATCTGTGCGGACGTGCTGTGCGACGAGGGCACCTCGAAGTATCAGGTGCGCGTGAAGGGTGGGACTGATTTCGTGGACTGCCCACCCGGAAGCACCCTTGTGCTCTCGAAGTACAGTACAGAGTTTAAGTCTGGCGCGATCGAGTGTGCACCATACGAGGAGGTGTGCAACACAAACTATTACCGAATCGAGACCCATCGCATCCCCGCATCCGGTACAACTAACATCGCGTACCACTTCACTTACACGCTTGTGGCGGCCCTGGCTGTTCTGATTGTCCTTGCTGAATGATGGCAGGGAGAAACGTGCGCTGTAGGGTGGCCCCTGATCGTTTTTTTCATTCAGTGATATAATTTTACTTCCTTTTTATCTAACAAAGCAAGCGAATCTTTCTTTATATACATATATATATATATATATATATATTCATGTGCGTATATATATCTC